ACACACACACACACACACACACACACACACACACACACACACACACCAAATAAATAAGAAAAGTTATTTATCCTTTACCTTTTAAGCAACACCTCGAAAACACACACACACACACACACAGAGAGAGAGAGAGAGAGGGGGGGGGAGAGAGAGAGAGAGAGGGTGTTTGACGGGACTCGGTATTCATTCATATTAGAAAAACAAAACCCTTAGCAGACTAGGTCTAGAGGCATTTTCCTTCAGCTGATAAAAGGCCACGATTAAGACTGTGCAGGCAAATATACAAACTGGGGATATCTTAGAGACATTTCTGTTAAAGTCAGGAATAATCTACAGAGACTGGTTGTAACCACTGTTTACACTAAAGGTCTTTATTGATGCAGTGTAAGTAGAGTTGGGAGAAAGAGAAAGAAAACTATTCTAAAAAATGAAGGGCTCTAACAGAAAACTCAAAATGTGCAGCAAGGGAACACAAACCACACCAAGGCCAATAGTTAGGAAATATAAAAGAAGAATATTTACACCCATAAATTATATTTTAAAGTTTTATATAATTTATTTTTGAATAGTTATATTGTATGCTGCTTAGGAACAGATTGTTAAAATATATGCAAAGCCTCTGAAGAAAACCACTGAACAACAACAACAAAAAACCTAATAAGTAGAAATACTGTGTTTGTTAATTAGGGACCCAATAACACGAAGCAATCGGTTATCTATAAATGACTCAGTGCCTCAAAACTAAAAAAAGTTTAGTTTTGAAAGCCTCAAGTGTGTGATTCACATGTGAGGGCCCAGAGGGGAAGATTATTCTGATGGGACTCAAGAGAGGCGCAGGATTGGTCTTATTAAATATTTAGACTTATTAAAGGGGTCAGTGGTACTGGCATGGGAGGTCACAAATAGATGACTGGATCAGAATAAAAGCTCTGAAATACCATGTGCACCAAGGAAGTCAGCCTGTGACTGCGGCAGTGGCAGGTCTGAGACCGCTGTGTGTCTGTGTGGGAGGAAGCCGGCGGAGTGACTCCCTGCTCATATCAACCACTGAGACCCAAGTGTGAACCTAGGAACTTTATAAGAAAATACACCCATTGGCATCAGATAGGGAAAGATTTCTTATATGACACATAAACATTGAAACAGTGGGGTAAGAGGATCCATTCGGCTGCTTTAAGATGAAAGATGTGGAAAAGGGTAGGACAGACCACGTAGGAGCCGGGCAGGGCAAGGAGGAAAAAATGTGCAAGGCATATGAGTAACCAAACCAAACAAAACATAAACATAAACAAGAGGAGGGAAGGAGCTATTTTAAGAAGCAGAAATTACATAAGCTTAACTCTTCCATCCCAAGCAACACAACTGGCTGTAGAAGTCAATGTGAAAATGAAATATAAGAATATTAAAAAAAAATGAAAGTATAAAAATTCAGCAGCTAGAAGATGATCCCAGAAGGTCCACCATGTCAAAGTCATGAAACATTATCAGATCTATACTAAAAGGTGAATGTATAGTTCATATTTTAATAATCTTCAAGGAAAACAAAAATGAAAGTATTCAACCCTAACACTCACAGAAACAACAAAATCTTTAAAGAATAGGAAGAGAGAAAAGAGACAAGAGAAACCAAGCTGAAACCAGGGAAATTCATAGAATTAGTTCAAGGGCTATATTTTAAAATAGACAACAAGACAAAACTAAGTAAGAAAAAAAGACTGTAGTTAATAAAATTACTAGTAAAAAGAAGAATAAATTCATCACCAGAAAAATTGGTATCTTAAATCTAAGATAATACTTTGTAAAACTATGTTAAACTTGAAAACCTAAAGGAAATTAATAACCTAGAAGTACATAACTAGAAATATAAAACTAAATACAAGTTACAGCTGAAGGGACTGAAATAGGAAAGAGGGAGGGGGTCTCCCTGGAGAAGCATGCAGACCTACACATCACAGGAGGAAAAATCTTTCAACTCTTAAAAAAAAAATCAAGTCACTACATCTCATGTATAATTATTTCAAAACATTGGAAAATACCACAGCTTATCTTATTTGTGTTAAAGAGGCAATCCTATATCAAACCTTGAAAAGAAAATGTTGCCAGATTATAAATATAAGGGAAGAAATTGAAACAGATAAGAGTGCCCAGAAGATTCATCCAATCTGAACTAAATAAAAATCAGCTGGATTTTAACTCTGAACATTGGAGTCTGTGTCGTACACAGAGGCTAAGGGTCCTGGGAAAGAGGTTTGGAAAAGAAGACAGTCTGGGTTCAGTGCCCAGTACCACAAGAAAACTACCAAGATCAGTGGTATTCTCCAAAGACACAGAGAATTCCATCGTTTGTATTTATTTGAAAATGATTGCACACCGGAAGCAGTCAAAGCCACCCCTTTAAAATGAGCTACCCTGGCAGCATTAAAATCAGAAATGAAATGTATGCTGTTGTTTATGGCCAATTTTAATTTTGGTATTTTCTAACCAATGAAATGGAGCATTTCTAAAAAAAAAAAAAAAAAAAAAAAAAAAAAAAAAAAATCTTTATATTTCTGGAGACTAAAAGGAATAATCCAACTAAAATCATTACAGTTGACATGTGAGTGTTCTAGAAAATGCTAATCTAAATATGTGTGTGATTAAAATATCAAATAGTTTTTAAAGGAAATTTTTAAAAACTTTACTTTTATGTTAAAAATCTAGTAGCTATCTTATATAGAAAATAACTGTCTTTCTTCTTTCTTCCTTTCTCTCTGTCGTGTGTGTGTGTGTGTGTGTGTGTGTGTGTGTGTGTGTGGGGTAGGGTTTCTCCACGTAGCATCGGCTGTCCTGGAAGGTATGCACCAACATGCTCTGCTCTATGCTTTTCTATATGAGCACTGAAAAATGTGGTTTTCATTATTAATTATTTTTTAGAAAATATGATTTTAAAAAAGATCAAATTGCCATAGCAAAAGTCAGCAGAAATGACATCAGAGATGTCTATGAAATGACTTAGGATGCCTTTCATAAAAATGTGACAGACAGGCAAAACCAGCATTTGAATGTTATTTTTTAATTAATTAAATTATTTATTTTACATCCCAACCAAAGTTTTAGTTATTAAAATCTTATGAGTTTGTATGGTGAATGGACCCTGCAATTCCAGCAGTTGGAAGGCCGAGGCAGGAGGATTGCCTTGAGTTTGAGGCCACTCTGGGCTATACAACAAGATCCTGTCTTAAAAATCAAAACAAGCCTATAATTTTACCACTTTGGAGATGGAGGCACTTTTAACAATTTGATATATATCAAAATTAAGGCTGGTCTTAACTACATAGGATTCTGTCCCAAAAACTAAAATTGAAATAACAACAAAACCCACAAGTATAAAAATATGTTAAGTATGCTTTAATGCACTTTTATAGTATTATATTATGTATAAATATTTACATGATACACATATAGTATATTTAAATCTATCAGCCCAACCAGGCTTTGGTGGTGCATGCCTTTAGTCCTAGCACTCGGGAGGCAGAGGCCGGTGGATCTCTGTGAGTTCAAGGCCAGCCTGGTCTACAGCTTAAATTCCAGGACAGCCTCCAAGGCAATACAGAGAAACCCTGTCTTGAAAAACCACACACAAAAAAAAATCTATCAGCCAAAATATATGAATATAACCAATATTAAAATGTAACCATTAAACCAGGAAATTATTATTATATGTTAAAAATATTAAACTAGACATGCAAGTATTTGTATATATATTTCTGTATGTGTAACAATTCTAAATTGCTACAAATGTCCAGACAGACACAAACATATAAAGACTAAATGTAAAATATGTACACAGAAAATAAAACTTGTTAACAAATGGGGTATTCCTGTGTGTTTACCAAAATTAAAATTATATTATGAGCCACAAACACTCTGTTTTGTGTACTCTGGTTTATATTTAAGAAATACACTTGCTTTCTTGTAAAAGCATAAAAAAGAAAAGAAAAGAAACCAAACCAAACCAAACCAAAAAACCCAACAGGAACCAATTGTGTGTGGGAAAAGTCTCTGCACAGAGTTTTGGTTATTTCAAGTGTCCCCTCTAGTGTTCTCTGAATATTGGAGAACCAGGCAGCCCCTGAGTGTTTCACACAGGGGATGTGTTAAGTGAGTCACAGTGCAGAGATACTAAACCCACTTAGGACTCCTTAAGACTAACTTCGTAGAAGACCATTACTCCGTAACTATTTTTTCAGACTGAAAGCTATTTTGGTGTGGTGGCTCACACCATGAAACAGCACTCAGAATGGCAAGTTTGAGGCTAGCCTGAGTTACACATCAAGATCTTGTCCCCAAACAGTATAATAAAATTTAAAAATAAAAGGGAGATTGGATAGAGTAGCCTGTCACAGAGAGAAAGATTTTGTAAAAAGCTACAGCTGCGATTACAAGATATTGAAACTTGTAAGTCCATCCTGGCATATAAACTGTTTATTTTCCAATTAAAATTATACAATTAATTGTTTGCGACTTCTTTTGACAGAATTAATATAACTTTCTTTGTATCTTTAAATGTGTATCTGACTGTGAACTGCAGTTTTTATTTTGTCTTTTGTTTTTTGAGACTCTCAGGTTGGCCTCAGACTTAAGATCCTTCTATCTCCTGCCTCCGCCTAGGAATGCCAGGATTACACGTGTGTAAAATTTAATTGAACAGCTGTCAACCCTTCGTCACAGGTCCCTGAACAATCATCACAGTCACATCTTAGCAGCAGCATGCTTCAGTGACATCCTAAGACAACTATTATAATTGTTTGTTTGCTTGCTTATTTTTTCCAGACCCGGTTTCACTGTGTATCCCTGGCTGTCCTGGAAATTGCCCTATATACCAAGCTGGGCTGGAACTCAAAGATTCGCCTGCCTCTGTCTCCCGAATGCTGGGATTAAAGGTGTGCCACCATGTCTGGTTATAATTGTAATTGTTGGTATTATCATTATTATTAATATTAATCATCTGCCTATCTTTATTCGAGGCCAGGAGAGATGGCTCAACAGTTAAGAGCATATACTGCTCTTCAGAAGACCAAAGCTCAGTTCCCAGCATCCACATGCCAGTTTACAAACACCTGTAACTTCAACTCCAAGGGATCTGAACCCCTCTCCTGGCTTCCTTAGACACCAGTACTCACAGTTGCACAAATGTACACATGTATAAAAGTAAGTAAAAAAAAAAGGAGAAACCCTAAATTAGGGGGAGGGAAGGGAAGGGTGGAGAGAGAATGAACCAGGCCTTGTGGCATGGCACAGGCTTGTAATTCATCTACTCAGAACTTGAGGCAGGAAGATGGATGGCAAGTTCAAGGTCTGCCTATAGTAACACTGAGCTACAGAATGAGCTTAAGATCAGGGTTTCTCTGTGTAACAGTCCTGTCTGTCCTGGAACTCACTCTGTAAACCAGGCTGGCCTCGAACTCACTGAGATCCACCTCCCTCTGCCTCCCAAGTGCTGGGATTAAAGGCGTGCGCCACCAATGCCTGGCTGTAAAAAGTTTTTAAAAGGAGCTGAGAATGTAGCTTAGTTAGCAGAGTGCCACCCTGGGACCTGTAAAGCCTGGGTGGGATCTCCACCACCACATAAACTGATTCCAGTGTTGGGGAGCTAGACATAGGAGGATCAAGAGTCCAAGGTTATCCTAGTCTATACCTTGAGTTTGAGGTTAGCCTGGGCTACCTGAGACCATGTCCAAAAACAGTTTCATTTTCAGACTGGAGGATATAGCTCAGGGGCAGAGTATTTTACCTAGCATTTTCGAGGCCTGTGTTCAAAACCTAGTATAGCAAAATCAGATAAATAAGTAACAGCAATATATATATATATATATATATATATATATATATATATATATTTAGCTGATTTGTTGGCTTGTTTGAAATAGGGTCTCACCGTGTAGCCCAGGTTGGCCCAGAACTCACAGTAATTCTCCTGCCTCAGCCTCTCAAGTGTTGATTACAGTTGTGGGTCTCTATCCCCAGACAATTGTCACAGACTTTAAACACAGCTTTTCCTAGATCTGAATAAATGAAAAATTATATTGTAAAGACATTTTCCCACCTCCGTTTAAACACCAGAGGCGATGGTCCCAGAGAAGCTCAATCCTTGGAGCCCCTGGGTTACCTGCTGGCTGAGGCAGGTGGTGTCCCAGGGCACTTCCCTGCCCTTGGCTTGGTTCAGCCTCGAGCAGCGGCTGGGAGTGCTCAGAAACGTTCCCTGACATTCTCTGACACCAGGCATTACTCACAGTTTGAAAATCGCTGTAATTATGGTAATGTCAGATGAGTCAGCTACTGGGCAGCCCTGCTCTGCCCTGGCCATCTCCTCTAGCCTTAAGAGCCTCAGCACCTGGGGCTTCAAAACATCGAGAACCAGAAGAAAAGAGAGCCCTCCTCCACCCTGCCCTGCCCTGGGAGGGAAGTGAAGTCACCCCGGGAGTTCCAAGAACAGCTTCAAAAGGAGCTGCCAATCGCTGTGGCTGCCACAAGGAAGGGACAGTTGCAGGGACATAGCTAACCGGGGAAGGGGGTAGGGGTAGGGGTAGGGCTGAAGGTTGGGGGTGAGGGGCATCTACTCAAATGAAGGAAAACAGGAGTGTGGAGTTTCTACAGAGACTCTGTGACTGTCCCAGGGTGGGTGGGGACTAGTCACTGATCAGGTGTTATTTCCAGGGCTCCCCCCAGTGTTCTCACATCTGCCGAGGGCTCCTCAGAAGTTGGTCCCTAGGACCCGAGAGGCCACTCCTTACTGAGGGGACTGCACACCCTGCACACCCTGGCTGGCTTCCCGGCCTCTCTGCTTTAGCCACGTGCCCATTTGGGTATCCAGCACAGCAGCAGCCACTTGCCCGGAGTTTTCTGGGTATCATGTCGTTCCTGACTTCTTCACTCTTTTAGCTTCTGTGGAATATCAGGAACCCGGAAAGTCTGCATCAGAAGGAAGCTCCCACAGGCTAACTGACTGTGATCCTCCCCCCTGGCCAGCCAACTCTCAGGTAACCCCAGTTATCTGCGCCTCAGCCAGCTTTACCTAACATTCCAGCCAAACCCAGGGCACCACTTAACACCTTTCACATTGCCTCAGAAAAGACCCTCAAATACATTCTTCTCTCACAGAGGTCTCCTTACAACCATAGTTTATAAATAGGGAAAAAGGGTTCAGAGAAGGCATGCCACTGACCAAGGTTGCACAGCAAGCAACAAACCCCTCCAGTCCTATGCTCCTTCTACTCTAGCCAAGACACATGTCTTTCACATTGAAAGAACAGGAGAGGACCAAACTGGGTAGGAAGGAGCCCCAACCAAGCGCACACCTTACTACAGTTGAGGTAGAGACAGAATCAAGAGGAGCACAATGACCTGCCCAAAGTGACACAACCGTGTCAGCAACAGGCTTCCAAACACGTCCTCTGCCCTCCCTCCAGTTCCCGAACACTGAAGCCCCTCACTTGCTCACTCTGGCCTTGGTGCAGTGTAACCATGAAGAGAGTCCCCAAGACCACACAACTGCTGACATGAAGTATTCCCCCCCTAAAGCATGGGGCGGGCACAAAACAAGGACTGTCATGGGGAGGACACTGGAGTGAAGGGCTGAACCAAGCCCAATGGCCTCCTAGGGTGAGGTGAATTAGAGCCACCCCAGGTGGCATCAGAGCTTTGCCTAGGATGAGGCTGAACCACCACTCCCTGGCCCTGCCCGGGTTATGGAACCTGTGCGCCTGGGAGTTCTTCAGCACCCTCATCCTGAGTCGCTTCCAGCCCCTACCTTGCAGACCACCACTTTGGGTGCCATGTAGATGCCATGTGATTGGCTCACAGAATTTCAGATTTCCCACCCTCTTCAGGGTGGCACCCACCCAGCCTGGCCATGGAGGGCATGCCCCGGCTAGAAGATTCCTGAGTATGCTTTTTCTCCCACTGGTTCCCCAAACAAAGAAAAATCAAGACTTACATTTTGGGTTGAGGTACTGGAAATCCTTGGGACTCTGTGGGAGATGCTGTTTAGAGGACTCTCTCTTCCCTACTCTTGTCTGCTCTGGTCCTACCCAATTTATCCTCCAGGCACGATTGGTTGTCTGGAGTTGACCCCTCCCCTGCCCCCCAAAGCAACTAACAGCTGTTACTCTATTGAGTGGCAATATGAGGTCATATTATAGGTGACTAACCCACCGAGGCTTCCTTGCGAGCCATCATCTAAATATGGTGACCTCTGTCATCCTGACCTTTCCGTGGAAGAAGCTGAGTGAGGGGCTAGACACTGACTCTGGGGCTCTAGTGAACATCTGGCTTCTGGGGCAGTGGGGTGGGGCAGCCCCTCTGAGCATCAGAAGACAAGCCCCCCCCCCCATGCAGATTTCCTTCCCAGAGATGTCTTCACTCCAGACAGCATCTTCCCCTGGGCTGAGTGTGAAGTCGGCAGGACAGAGGATATGATGGTCCAAGCCAGGGAGAGGACTGTATACAGATCCCGGGTGCCACGACAGACTCTTTATGACGTTCTGCACTTACTGAGGAAGCCAGGACAACCCCAGCAGAGTTGGAGAAACTGAGGCCAAAGGGTTCAGTGACTTCCCAAGGTTACAGAGCTGACCAGAGCCGGCTGGAGCTCATATTTCAGCCCAGGTCTGTCTGTGAGACTCCACAGAGCACCGAGCTTTACAGAGAAGCACTGCCACGTCACTTGGCTTTGTTTGTTTGTTTGGTTGGTTTTTAACAGAGTTCATTTGTAGAGCAGTTTTGAGTTTTTATTTTTCTATAGAAATAAATCAGAGAGTATGGAAATTTCTTAAATATCCCCTGTCCCCATACCGGGCACAACTACTCTTTTTGTCTGTATTCCCCACTGGAAAGGTCAATTGATAGCCCTACCTGACACGTCATTGTCACCCACAGTCCTTATTTACCTTGGTGGCACACATTCTGTGAGTTTGTGTTAAAACAACTTTGGTGTGTATATGCTTTTTTGAGACAGAGTTGCCTCGCTATGTAGCCCATGCTTACTTGAACTCACTATGTAGTCTAGGCTTGTCCAGAATATGTAGCTCATGTTTACTTGAACCCACTATGTAGTCTAGGTTAGTCTAGAACTCAATCCTCTTGCCTCAACCTTCTGAGCGCTGGGATCACAGGGTGTACCACCATGTCTGGCTTAGGAATCCCCCATGACAGTGCCACTAAGAGTCACTTCACAGTGCCCTGGACACCCACCTATCATCCCAGTGCTCAGGAAGTGGAGACAGCAGGATCAGAAGTTCAAGGCCATTCTTGACTACATAGCTGCATATGTGGAGCTTGAGGCCAACCTGGGCTACATGAAACCCTCTCTCTCAAAAACAAAAGGAAAGCCCCTGTGCTTTGACCACTTCCCCACCTCAATCCCTGGTAGCCCCTGATGTTTTCACTGTCTATGCCTCTTTCGGGAATGTCACACAGTTGCAACTGGAACTGCACAGTGAAAAGTCTTCTAAGATAGGCTCCACTCACAGTGTAGACATTTGAGCTCCTACCGTGTCTTTCCAGGGCTAGGTGGCTTGTCTCTTTTTTTTGGGGGGGGGTTTCAAGACAGGGTTTCTCTGTGGCTTTGGAGACTGTCCTGGAACTCGCTCTTGTAGACCAGGCTGATCTTGAAGTCACTGAGATCTGACTACCTCTGCCTCCAGTGCTGGATGGATTAAAGGCATGCGCCACCACCGCCCCCCCGACGGCCTCTCTCTCTCTCTCTCTCTCTCTCTCTCTCTCTCTCTCTCTCTCAGCACTGAATACTTTTATTGTCTAGATGTTTCATGTCTGTTCATTTACCTACAGGATGATGGGATTCTGAACTGAGCACGATGACCCATACCTGTAATCCCAGCACTCAGGAAGTTGAGGCCAGAGGATTTTCATGAGCTGGAGGCCAGCCTGGGATACATATGGAGGCTGCTCTATGCTACAGAGACCTTGATACAATCAAATAAAGCAAAGCAAATGAGCCCCACTGAGCTCTTCTTAGGAAGTCCCTGTGATTTGGACCCCAGTACCACATGGGTCCCTGTTTTCCCGTCTGCTGTCTGCCCATCACTCAGTATTCCCTGAGCACTGTCATAGCTCAATGGTCACCATCCCAGCACGGGGGAGGCTGAGGCAGGAAGATGTCGAGATCCAGGCCAGCCTGAACTATATCGTGAGACTGTCTTAGATCTCCACACCCTAATAAGCAGCACTGAAGGCTAACGTCTTGGCCCCAGTGTGATGCTGTTGGGGGTGTGGGTATGTGCGTATCGACTGGGTCTCACTGCCTAGGCCAAGCTGACCTGAAACTCACTATGTAGACCAGGCTGACCCAGAGTCTCCTGCCATCCTCCTGCCTCAGCCTCCTCAGTCCTGGAAGTACAGATAAGAGCCACCATATCAAACTTTTGGGAGGTGATGAAGCTTAGGTTAGGGCAAGAGCAGAAGGAGACCCTGCTGATGGGTTAGTGTCTTATAGAAAGAGGACAGCACAGACAGCCAAACCTCCATGGACACACGGCCATGAAAAGGCCTAGTGAAGAGGCAGCAGGAAGGCAGCCATGCACCAGGGAGCTGGCCCTCACCTCCTGCACCTTGGACATGGACTCCCAGACTCTAGGACTGTGAGAACTAAAGACCTGCTGCTGGTGTCACTTGCTCCCCGGAGTGTGTGAGAGCAGGGTGTCCTGATTTGTTTGCTGTTGCTGTGATAAACACCATGACCGTCAGCTACCTGGGGAGGAAACGGGGTTTATTTCAGTTTTCTGGGTCCCTCACTGAGGGAGGCCACGGCAGGTGGTTGAAGCAGAGACCAGGGGGAAGATGGCTCTCTGTCCGGCTCTTTGGCTTACTTGTGCTGATTTTCTTACACGCATGGTGTTGCCCACTGCGGTCTGGGCACTCCTACACCAATCATGGGCAAAACAATTCCTTACAGATACGGCAACAGACAATCTGATAGGGCGACTCTTCATGTGAGGTCACTCATTCCATGTGGCTGTGGGTTGGGTCAAGTTGACAATAAAAACAGACCTAGGTAAGACAAGCACCCACCACATGGTGAGGACCGGGAGGACTCAGAGGCTGTTCACACACATTTTCGTGCGGTTATGCCCTCACAGCTCCACCCCTGGTAATACTGGTTTGGAGGTGAGGATAGATGTGGGCGGAGAATAAGGTATTGACTGGAAATGAGAAGGCTCTCAGAGCCTCTCCATGATACCGTGGAAGGACAGAATTGACTTTTACAGGTTGTCCTCTGACCTCTGCAAACATGACAACCACAAATAGATGCAATTAAAAAAACAAGATCCAATTACAATTATTATTTTATGTGTAACGTTTATAAGCATGAAGTTGCTGTTATTATTATAGCAAACCCCTCTTCCTCCATTTTAAGACCTAAACTTCTACAGAAACGGGAAAGCTTAAGTTATTTAATGGACTGGACAGGCTGCCATAGAAATAAAAGAGTTTCAGAAAAAAATCCCTGGGGGGGTGCAGTTGTACAAGTTACAGAGGGGAGGCAGGGATAAGCAGGGTGCATTTCTGACCCATGAGGTGGAAGTCTAGAAGGACAAGTGCCCTGATCCTACACAACCATCTTAGGCGCTGTGTTTGAACCAGGAATACTTGAGTAGACAAAGCTCGTGGCTCACCAGCACACCATTGCTAGGGAATTACCATGGAGTCAGGCTCAGCCATGAACCTTTGCGTTTCACCACGCTGGGACCCAGGGAGCGCTGGCTGGTGACTCCTAACTCCTGGATCACTTCCCACTCCCGTGAGAGCAGAGCGTGTGCCTACCGCTCCTGGTCTCTCTCCCGTGTGCTTGGTGCTTTGTGTCACCGAGTGAGTCACTGACATGGTTGGGAACGGTCCAAGGGTTCCTGCTCTTTGCTCGCTGCTGCTGCTTGCCGGAGATCACAATCCTTCCGCATTAGCGGTGGCTTGCATTTATGGCTCTTAGTGACATTTAATGGGGCTTCTGGGGTGGGGAGTGAGAGCTGGGATCTCAGGAAATCAGAAGCTACGATGACACACAGGATCTTGCTTACTGCAGATTTAAAAACAGCAGTGGACCTCATAGTGTCATTCCATGGGGACAATCACCCCAGGCCTGGGTCGCCTGTCTGGAAGCTGGGTGGGAGAGAAGGGGAGGAGGAGAGCCGGCAGTCCTGAGGGCCGCCGGTTCCTCCTAGGATTGATTTCAAGTCCATGTTCACGCCCCATGTCCGGCCTACTACTGTTTGTGGGCACGTTTGTGCCCATTGCTCTACCTGGGTCTTTTTATTTTTTATTTTAAATTATTTTCTTGGTTGGCTCACAAAGAACTGGGTTTCATTATGACATTTTCATGCGTAGGTCATTATAGTTCGTTCTTTCCTCTTACCCGTCCCCTTAGGCGCCCCTCACCCCTCTTACTGCTCCTCCTCCTCCTTCTGCTTGCTTACCCCCATTTCGCGGTTTCTCTCTTCTCAAGCTCCTTTTACTCCCCGCCATGCCACGTCCCTCCCTTTGGTTCTAAAGATTTACTTTGAATCGTGTGGCTGGTTTGTGTCTCTGTGTGAGCATGTGCACATGAGCGCAGTGTCCGCAGAGGCCAGGGGTGTAGGATCCCCTGGACCTGGAGACAGCGGAGTCTGTGAGGAGCCAGATGAGCTGGGAATTGAACTCAGGTCCTCTGCAGAACAGTCTTAAGTGCTCAAGCATGTCCCCAGCCCCTGCTGCACATATAACAGAAAACATGCAATGCTTTTTCAAGTGTGCTTACATCACTTAACAACCAGTTCCAGTTCCGCCCATTTTCCTACAACAATTTTCATTCTCTGCCAAAAATTATTGCAGGGGCCCGAAAAACGGCTCAGCAGTTAAGGGGCTTGTCACCAAGCCTGAGGACGCCGGCTCCCATACCCTCCCTACACGTGAATAAACAAATGAATAAAAACGTAAGCTACAACATTTATTCTACTGTGTATGCACAACACGTGTTCCTTAGCCATCTGCTGATCCACATCGGGGTTGTTCCCCATCTGGCTGTTGTGAGTAGTGCAGCAAAAACATGGATGTGCAGGTGTCTCTGTGGTTGTGAGAATGTGAGTGTGAAAGTGCGTGTGTGAGAGTGTGAGTGTGAGAGTGTGAATGTGTGTCCGTGTGAGTGTGTAAGAGGGTGTGTGTGAGTGTGTGTGAGTGGGAGAGTATGTGTGTGTGTGTGTGAGAGTGTGAATGTGTGAGTGTCTGTGTGAGTGTGTAAGAGGGTGTGTGTGAATGTGTGTGAGAGTGAGAGTATGTGTGCGTGTGTGAGTAAGAGGGTGTGTGTAAATGTGTGTGAGTGGGAGAGTATGTGTGTATGTGTAAGAGGGTGTTGTGAATGTGTGTGAGTGGGAGAGTATGTGTGTGTGTGTGAATGTGTGTGTGAGTGTAAGAGAGAGTATGTATGTGTGTGTGTCGTGTGTGTGTGTGAGAGTGCGTGTAAGAGAGAGTATGTGTGTGTGTGTGAATGTGTGTGAGTGGGAGAGTGTGTGTGTGTGTAAGAGGGTGTGTGTGAATGTGTGTGAGTGGGAGAGTGTGTGTGTGTGTAAGAGGGTGTGTGTGAATGTGTGTGAGTGGGAGAGTATGTGTGTGTGTAAGAGGGTGTGTGTGAATGTGTGTGTGAGTGTAAGAGAGAGTATGTATGTGTGTGTGTGTGAGAGTGAGTGTAAGAGAGAGTATGTGTGTGTGTGTGAATGTGTGTGAGTGAGAGAGTGTGTGTGTGTGTAAGAGGGTGTGTGTGAATGTGTGTGAGTGGGAGTGTAAGAGAGTGTGTGTGTGTGTAAGAGGGTGTGTGTGAATGTGTGTGAGTGGGAGTGTAAGAGAGTGTGTGTGTGTGTGTAAGAGGGTGTGTGTGAATGTGTGTGAGTGTGAGTGTAAGAGAGAGTGTGTGTGTGTGTGTAAGAGGGTGTGTGTGAATGTGTGTGTGAGTGTAAGAGAGTGTGTGTGTGTGTAAGAGGGTGTGTGTGAATGTGTGTGTGAGTGTAAGAGAGTGTGTGTGTGTGTAAGAGGGTGAATAATGTGTGTGTGAATGTGTGTGTGTGTGTGTGTGTGTGAGATCCGTGTTAACTCCTGAGGACCCTCCCCCTCTCACAGGCCGCAGACCTCAGGCTGTGACCTCCCCGGATGTCACCCTAGCTCCCGGGCACCGGGCTCCTCCGTGTCTGGGGGCACAAAGGGTGTGGCCGCAGACCCGGGCGGGCACACAGGCCGAGACTGAGGGCCGGAACGCTGGTCCAAGTCCACGCGAGGGGTTCCCGTGCGCCTGGCGCGCAGCGGACACAGGCGAGCGAGCGAGCGAGCGGTGCTGGATGCTGGGTGTGTCAGCCTGAGGGACAGCGTCGGGAGGCTGTGCTCGCCCT